ACCTTCCGGATCCTCTGTTCTTATAATTTTAGTCTGTTCTTGACTCTTCCATTTGTTGATTGAGTTCAGGGTGCTGCTGCCCCATATGTCATTCTGTACTTGTTGTCTGTTCTTGTTGGTTCTCAGTCCACAGAACTTCCTTTAGGATGTTTGTCATAGCAGGGTTGGCTTTGGCAAAATCCCTTAGCTTCTCTTTATCCTGGAATGTTTTGATTACACCATCGTATTTGATTGACAGCTTTGCTGGTTTTTCTTTCACGGATTTATATATGTCTCCTCATTGCCTTCCTGCCTGCATGGTTTCTGTTGAGAGATCTGAACTTATTCTGATTTGCTTGCCTTTGAATGTTACACTTCTCTTTTCCGTAGCTGCTTTCAACATCCTGTCCTTATCTTTGACTTTGGAGAGCTTCATAATTATATGTCTTGGTGATTGTCTTTTAGGGTCTATCCTTCCTGGGGTTCGATGAGCTTCAGGAATGCTTATCTTTTCACTTTTAATGATGTTAGGGAAATTTTCTTCCAGAAGCTCTTCAACTATCTCCTCTTGGATTTGTCTGATTCTTCCTGTTCCGGAATGCCAACAGTTCTTAAGTTATTCCTCTTCATGTTGTACAACATGAATCTTAGGCCTTCTTCAGATTTTTAAAATCCTTTTTTGTGTTTGCTCTTCTATCTTAGTAGTGTTGAGAGATTTATCTTCTAGCTCACTAGTTCTGGCTTCTAGCTCTTCAATTCTACTCCTTTGTCCTTTCAGTTTTGTCCATTTCTAATACCTGTTATTAATCATCTGGACCTCTTTCTGTAGGTTTTTAATTGTTTCCAATGCTGTATCTGTCTTATTTGATTGTCCCTGTAGCACTTTCCTAACTTCTTATTTTTCTCAGCTCCATTTGTATAGTATTTTGATACATTTTATAATCATCTTTCTGAATTCCTTCTCAGGCATTTCCAAAGCCTGCCCATCTTCCAGTATGAAGTGTAGGTCTACTTCCAGCTCATTTGCCTCAGTCACTTTATGTCGTTTCTGGACATGTGCAGATATGGTCATCTGCTTCTGTTTTTTGGGCATATTCAGGAGTTATCTATGGCCTTAATACTTAGATGGGTGTGTATTTTGGTATTTTTTATGCTTTCAGAATGCCTCCAGGTAGATGTGATCAGGAAATGGGCTTCGTTTTTCACTCTTCTTCCTGAGAAATTTCAAGATGCCACTGTTTGTCATTTTGATGTAACTTAGGATTTAATTTTCAGCCTATTTCCTTTTTAGTCTGCCTGTTCCACTCCACAATCCCTGTTCAGGTCTTTTTTCTAGTTATAAACAGTTCAGGGCCACCTGTGGCCATTTGGTTTTAAGTGGAAACTGTCTATTTCAATTTCGAGGAGATCAGTGCGCATGCGTAGTAGAACCCTCCGAGGGTGTGGCTGGGGTGTCCGCTTGCTCAGGCACCCCTGTAGTCACTAGGATAGAGGTGATCAGACAGCAAGGGATCAGTGAACAGATACCAAAAGAAAAGAATGTCCACATCTTTATCTCTGCCAGGTGTCTGTGGCCACTCCAACCCTTCCCCTGCTTGGTTTCACCCAAGATGGTGGCTCCTGGAGCAGCTGAGCATCCTGAACTAGAAAGCAATGGATTTCTTGCTTATGCTACAAATTCCCCTAGCTGTAAGCCTTCCAACCTTCTAAATATTCCTTTATATGTGGTTCAGAGTTCTGGGACCATCCCCTGAACCTGCTTGTTCCGGTATCCTGTGTTGTTGCTGGCGGAGCTCCTTATTGCAGTTCCACATGATCCACCATCTTAGTTCTCTTTTGAGTTATATTTTAAACAGGACATCTGAACACTATAATGTAATAACTGGCGATCCAGCACCCTTTTCTCAGGTTTTCTTGGTGTTCCTTGCCCCTCCCTCTGTCCTTTCCTTGGTCTTTCCCTTCTCCTTTTATTGTTGAAGACTGTAGCAACCTGTTAGTGTAGTGACTTTTCCAAACTCTTTTTTTTGACAAACATTCTTTTATTATATTATCACAAACAAAATTACTTTTAGAAAGTAAATCTGTTGATGTGAGACATGCATTGACTACTTTAAATTCCAACATCAAAATTTCTGAAGCTCACTTCTACTTGTTGTTGTGATGTGCTGTGGAGTTGATTCCAACTCATAGAAACCCTGTACAGGGTTTCTGAGGCTGTAAATCTTTACAGATGAGGCAGAAAGCATCATCTTTCTTCCGTGGAACAGCTGGTAGTTTCGAACTGGTGACCCTGAGGTTAGCAGCCCGATTCGTTACCACTGCGCTACAGAGCTTACTTCTAGAGACAAAGCTAAAATAAAGACTGTATGATTCTGAATTACAAACTAAATACAAACAATGCAAAATCAGAGATGCTGTTGCCACTAAGTTTACTTTTTGGTAATCTGGACTTGGACATTAACAGTCCTTTATTTCTACCTAATCTTTTTATGTATCTTTCATTTATGCCCCTTCCTGTCACTGGGGCTGGCTGTGGCTTAGCCTGATACTGAGGTTTTAAGTCAGATGGTATTACTACAAAATCTTAGAGATCCTTATTAAACAAACATATCAAAATATAAAGGTGTTGTTTCTTAATATATCCTTCATTGATGTATATATACTTCTGAAAGCAGCATTTTCATCTGTCTAACCCTCCCCTGAATAATTCTGCACTTATCGATGCACTCCAGATCAAAACCGTACTTTTACCATCCTGTTGTTGTTGTTGTAAAGTGCCATTGAGTTGGGTCTGACTCATAACAACCCTATATAGAATTTCTGAAGAGTGGCTGGTGCATTTGAACCTCCGACTTTATGGGTCAAACCAGAGAGACTCAAATTGTGTTCATTTAAAATGTTTTTTGAGTCCAAACTCTTTGTATAAAAGCTGGATTTTTTGGTGTGTATTGATTCTGTTCCTTTAGTTTGTGTTCATGTAATGTTCTGACAGAAACTTCCTTGAATGGCAGGAGTTAACAGGGCTAGAAATAGGGGGCTGTGTGCTGGAGCTGTCCTTGACCCTTAGCCAGGCTTGTCTCTCTGAGCATGTGCTCAGAAAGCATATGCGTGTGGCTCTCCAGATATGCGCAGGCACCTTGAAGGTCCCAATCTTCCAAAGAAATGCTCTGGTGTTTTAGCCCACACTTCCCATGATGCATCTCAGCTGCTGTCTTTTGCCCCAGTGGCTCCCAGTTCCTTACTTCCCTTGCAAGATGAGCGCTCTGCTTCCATCCTTAGGTGGCTCCTGGGATAGGTTTGAGTAGACACAAAATCGTTTGCACTGTTTACCAAGAACTGGGGACCCCCGTCAAAGCTGGAAATTCAACTGCAGCTTCAAGGAGGTGGAGAAAGACCTGGGCTAGGATCCCCAAACCACAAAGCTATCTTACTGTTGTAACAGCTACAAACCACCAAGTGTTCACCAGTTTCTGCTTTATATGCCGCCTTCATGGTCTCCTCCAGGCAGTCACGTTCCCAAGCTCTGTGAGGATGAGCCAGGGCCAGGGCCTCACTAGACACTGAGCTGCTCTCTTCTCTGCGGTCGTGTCACGGTCCACAGCAAAGACAAGTAGTTTGTTAGGGGAGCGGACACTGCTGGCATCTGAGAGGACAGCTGACACCGCTCAACAGCCCAGAGCACTGAGAAAGCATGGGCCTGGGGTCCCAGGGGCAGCCCCCAAACCCACACAGTGTCCTGAGGCTCAGAAGAACTTATGTGATAGTGCTGTAGTGTGGCCCGTGGTTTTGTACGATTCTTTCTGAAATGGGCTCCATCCAGAACACCAAAAGGAAGCAGGTTTCGGTGTTGGACCTGGAATATTTGCTGATGGTGGGTACTTGTGCCATGGGAGAGCCTAACCCCTCAGGCTGTCTCCTGCTCCTACAATGGGAAGCTTCCACTGTGGGTTCCTTACTACAAAAGAGACTCACCAAGCCTCAGGAGGCAGCTCAGGGCAGGCAGGGAATCCCTGAGTCCTCAGCAGGGCAGGGCCCAAGGCAATGTGTCACCAGGGGCCAAGAATTTTAGGGCTAAAGTGGAAATACTGAATCCAGTCTTTTGTTTGACAGATGGGGGCATTAAGAACTTACGAAAGTGAAAGACTTGCGCAAGAGTGCACCGAGCTCATATCAGACGTAGCCTCAAACCCAGAGCCTCTATAGACAGTGCTGTGCACCACCTCCATCCCCCAGCCCGCTCTCCTCAGGCCACAGCCTCTGAATGGGGTGGCCTCAATAGGACTGTCTAGAGGTGTCACCTGCTTCCTTTTCCTTCCTCCACTGGACTCTTGTCACACAGGCACCTGGAGGGTCCAGTGGCTACAGGGAACTGAGGAGAGACTGAAGGGGAGCTGAAGCAGATGGAGAGGAGGGCCTCTCCCACCGGGTTCTGTGGACTTGCACATGCCTGGAGGCTGCTGGGGGACATGGTTTTAGAGTCAACAGTGTCCCCAGGGCAGTGGGGACTTGGGCTGGTGCACAGGACTGGGCTGTCCACCTGAGCCTGACTGAGCAGCAAAGGTGTGTTCACACCTTCTGGCCAGCCCCCAGAGCCCACAGGTATGAGCCCACAGGTATGTGAGGTACTGAAGCTATAGGGAGAACAGCTGGCCCAAGGCCACAGTGAGGCCTGCTTTTTGGTCCGGAGTGGATCTCTGGATGTGATGTGCCCAGGGAGAAGTTGTGGCAGGCAGGAATGAAGGTTAGTAGCTGCCCAGAGCAGAGTGGCCCTCAGGTTGAGGCATAGAGCTGAAAGAGCTGGAAGGCCAATGTGGTTGCTGCTCTGGGGCAGGATAAGTAGAGGGACTCACAGCCTCCAGGGGCCCTCTAGCCTCCCGTGGAGCTCCAAACCCTCAGAGGAGCCTGTGGCAGAAAAGTCATCAAGGCTGGGGCTCAGGCATGTTAGGGCCCCCATAATACCGACTCCCAGGTGGGTCAGGTAAGTGATGGCCCAGTAACCTCCTGGCCTGGCTTGTCTGCAGGCGATTACTTCGGGATCCTCAAGGAAGCCAGAGTGACCGCATTCCCATTCAGTGTCCTGGACAACCCCATGTACTGGGGCAGCACTGCCAACTACCTGGGCTGGGCCGTCATGTGAGTACCTCTCGGCTGCTGAGCTTCACCTGGAGGATGCCCTCATCCACCTGGGGCTTTGTCTGTGTAGCCGCGAGCCAGCTGTCTCTTGTGCTGCCCGAGTCCAGCTATCTAAAAATGCAGAAGCTGCAGTTGGCTTGGGGGCCGCACATTTTCATCCCTGTGCTGGAATTTAGGGCTAGGAAACACCAGGAAATTCCTGGGCCCCACCAGCCTAGGTGCCCCCATATGGCATGTGCCCACCTCTCAGAGGGACCTTGTGTTCCTGACAGCTGCCTCCCCAGCTCAGGCTGCACCCATATGCTCTCACCCCCATGGTCAAGGAGAGTGACCTAGGGAGAACACCCACCCCCAATCCAGCCCCCCTCACCACCTCCCATCCTGACTGACTCCTGGTGACCCCATGCCTGTCCAAGGAGAATTGTGCTCCGCAGGGCTCTTGGTGGCTGCCGTTTGGAAGCAGAGCTTCCATTTGAAGTGCCTCTAGATGGATCAGAACCACGAGCCTTGTGGTTGGCAGTTAAGAGTGAGCCATTGTACCACTAGTCTGTAACAGGGCTCCCTCCACAAAGGGGGGGGGGGGAGGGGGGCGTTGTGCAAAGTGTTCTGCATTTGAAAACTACTTGCCTAGAACATTTCAGGTGCACCCAAAAACCAAAAAGATTAGATGGGGGACCAAAGTAATGGGTCTGCAATGCTGGAATGTCGGTGTTGAAGTGGTCCTTTCTTCCCCACTGCCTGGGCTTGTGGGGTGGGCTCTAAGGGAAGACTCCTCACATCTAGACTAACCCACTCCTTACAGCTGTCCTGTTATGGGTCTGGGATACCCTGCCCCCCAGCTGTCATATTTGGACTCCTGTTTAAAGCTGCTGTGCCCACCACCCCACAAAACACAGGGTCTGGCATCTCCTCAGACATGGACACCCCTCACTGGGCCTGGATGGGAGTAACAAGATGTCCCCATGCACCCTTTGACCACTGCACCCCATCTCCCACAGGCATGCCAGCCCGACTGGCCTACTGCTGACAGCGGTCGTGGCCCTCGTCTACGTGGTTGCGGTTCTCTACGAGGAGTGAGTGGTGCTTCCTGGGTAGGGGCACGGTGGGCCATGCCAAAGGTACCGACCAGAGCCACAGATGGGCACTGGGAGTGGCTGTGGTGCGCAGGCACCCAGGTGCTGTCATGCTGCTCATGGTCCCACTGCCCCGGAATACACCGTGGTGCTCTGGACACTCGTGGCCCCTCCAACCTCCCACCCCCTTCCGGGACCCCTTTCTACTCTTTGAATATCTGGGAGGGGAAGGGGATCCTGGCCCCTCTCCTGCCATCCAACTCCTGTGGGAGGGAGGGGGTTTTCTACTCTGTGCCTTGGTGGACCGATTGATAGCCCCTCTCCCTGCCCCCATGCAGGCCCTTTACAGCAGAGATCTACCGGCTGAAAGCTGCCAAGGCCAAGAGGAGCTGACGGTCCAGCTGGTGGTGCCAGGAGGCAGCGCTGGGGCCCATCCTGCCCCGGGGTATGCAAACCTCTGCTGCTCAGGAGGCTGCTCCTTTGCCCCGGAAACTGCTGCCTTGGGGGCCTGGTTGTCCCCATGTCCAGACTCTTCAATAAAGGCTTCTGACTCAGCATGGCCCCCTGTCTGTCCATCCTTGTGTCTGAGGGGTGGGGGGCACACCCTCTGAGCAGCCCCTCCTGGACCCTAACATCCTGGTAGGTGGACCCCATGGACCATGGCTGCAGAGGAACCCCCTCCTCTCCTCAGCTGCACCCCTGTGAGGCTCCCAGCCCCAGCAGAACCACCATGGGGGTAGTCTGAGCCATCTCACACCTCAGTGGCTCTTTGGCTCCTCTAGTAGCCAGGCTCCTCGGCCGGTGCCCATGGAATCTGCAGAGGGACAGGGTGTCTGAGCAGAGTCCTCATTTCTTGTACTAGCCCCTGCACTCCTGGTCAGAAGTAACTTACTTGACCAAGCCCTGAAACAGTGCCACCCACCCCCATTCCTGCTCTCTTGTCCTTCCTGCACAGTTCTGGACACCCATGACTCCAGGCCCTTCCTGCTAGCAGGGTACCTAAGCCATCTTCAGAGTCATCATCTCAGCCCCAGGCCTGTCCAACCCCACTGTGTCCACAGGCAGGCCACTGCCCATCCCTGGTTATCTGATGACCTGAAACCACTCATGGGCTTAGCTGGGCAGGTTACTCAGGGCCTGGGCTTGCTTGCAGCCCTACTGTGCACATCTTCCCCTGAGCCCATGCCATACCCAACACCCCCTCACCCCCACCCCCAAGTCACTGAGCCTGGGCTGAGACACTGGGTAATTTCTGAACCTCCCATCTCCCCACCCCCCCTTTCCACTGCTCTCCCCAGCAAGGATACCCAACATGGGGGCTAGAGGCTGGGAGAGGTGTGAGGAAAGGCCTGCCTCAGACCTGTGCTGGTCTACACTACGCCAGATTACCTGACCTGACTTGCCACCTGCCCCGCCCTCAGTCTGAGTCTGGCTCTATTTTTAGGCATCACTTGCACAGCAACAAACCACGTTTGCTCCCAGCCAGAGGCAGGAGAGTGCCTAGGTTCCCCTGGCAACTGGCCTGGCACAGCACCTTGTGGAGCCGTTGTCCTCCTTGCTAGGTAGGAGAGGTTCCTGGGATCAGAGCCTCAGGGCCTCCCCACCTGCCCTGTCTCACCCTCCCCTAGACCACCTACACCCCACTGCTTAGGGGGCCTCTTTTCTGAGCTTCCACCCTCCGTCATTCCAGCTACCAAACAATCCGTGGCTCCAATGTTTTCTAAATGGTCTTGGTTTGTTCACCTGGATATAGGGACCTTGTATGTTTCCAAAGAGTGGCAGGTAGATTTGAACTGCCGACCTTGTGGCCCAGTGCTTATCCTGCAGAGCCACCCCAGGACTCTATCACCCATGTTAAGTCCTTCCAGTAGCTTCAGAGTTGTGTAGTCATCACCCCAGGCCAGCTTACAGCATTTCTCTTCACCCCCAAAAGAAGCACAAACTGGCTCTGAAAGTCCCTATAGCCTCGAACCTGCTTTCTGTCTGTGGGGTTTCTTAATCTGGACATTTGATAAAAACCAAACCCTACAACATGTGGTCTGTGTCTGATCGATGCAGCATGTTTCTGAGATTCTCCATGTGGCGATGTATGTGTGCTTTGTTTCTTCTTGTTTGCATGCTCCACAGTCTGTATCCATTCATCTACTGATGGGCATTGACCTTGGTTTTATCCTCTGACTCAAGAATACTGCTTAATATGCATGTGTACGGTTTGCATATTGTTAAGTGCTTTCTAGTTGGTTCTAATGCAGTGACTCTGTATAAGGTTTCCAAGGAGGGTTCTGCATAGATGGAGTTTTCTCTTGGGTAGAGACGCAGGGGTGGAATTACCGGTTCCACTGGCAGCTCTTGGGCCCGCTGACCTCACCCCAAGATATTAACTTCATAGGGAAGGAAGGGACCATGTCTGATCCAACTTTCCTCCTAACCCCTAGCAAGGAGCTCCCGTTGTTCTATGTCAAAGCTTTGCTGTCACTCGGGGACTTTGTAGGGGTCAAGCAATGCAGGCTGCACAACCGGTGCCCTGACGGGCCCTCCTGCACTGTGCATCCTGCATCACTGTTCACGGCAGCCCCTGGCTCAGTTCCTTCTGGAAAACGGCACCACTTCCAGCCAGGAGTATCCTGGTGAGGCTCTCCTGAGCCATCAAATCACTGTGCACAACCCACACCAAGGGCCAAAGACACAGGAGAGTGGCAAGGGAGGGGGTGACAAAGTGAAAGCAAGACTCGGTGCTGGGAGGAGGTAATGGCTTTTTCATGAGCTCCTGGCTGGTCAGCAACTTCTCTAGACAGCCTACTTCTGGGCAATTCAACAGAATTAACCTGCTCCTGGTTACTGATCAACTCCTCACCACCTGCCTACTCCATCTCATGTGGCTGACCAGGACCTAATGGGTCATGTGCTATCGATATTGAATCTACCCAGGGCTCCACATAAAGAAGCCCCGACAATCTGCTTCTCTCAAGATTACAGCCATGAAGACCCTGGGGGGCGGGGGTGTCTTCTGACGTCAGCACCTAACAACGCTTATTACCAGACTCACTCCAAAACGGTGGGCGTGTAGGTGTCCTCATCTGTGATCACAGAACCAGCCCTACCATCTTTCTTAGAAGAGGAAATTGAAGGCAAAATTAAATTAAACCCATTTCTATTCAGTCCAACTGATAGCCACTAGATGGGGCTGAGTAGAACTGACCCACTGGGTTTTCAAGACTGGTGTGGCGTTATTAGGATAAGCACTGGACTACTAACAACTAGTCAGCGGTTCAAGCCCTATACAGGGTCACTGAGTCGGAAGCTACTGCAAGGCACTTAATCTTTATGGAGGGAGCGCTATAGCTCTGAAGGATCAGTACTGAATTGCTAACCACGAGGTCCCCAAAGATTGACAGGGAAAACCGGTACAGGGTCGCTATGACTCCATGGCACTTATGGAAGCAGACAGCTTTCTCCCACAGAGCAGCTGCTGGTTTCCAGTGGCCAGACTTTGTGTTAGCAGTCAAGTGCGTAGCCACTTACCATGGATCCTTGAGAATCAAGGGGTTTCATGACCCTCCTCCCAGACAGCCCATATCCCTCTGCCTTGTTTACACCAAAGAAGACCTGCCTTGGTGTCCCTCCTAACCCCACACAATGCCAAGAAGCCCACAGAGAACAGAGCGCAGTTCTAGACAAATGCACTCAAGAGACTGGGACGTGGTTTCAGGGTCTTCCTGGGCGCACTCTGATTCCAAACTTTAGTCTCCCCAATTATAAAGTGGGAATGTTTGTAACTGGTCTAGTTCTGACCAAGGAAGAGTAAATCTTTGTTCTTCCGGGAATTGGGGATAGGAACAGGATTGTTGAAGATGCCTGGCGACCCAGTCTGTACTCCAGACCCTGGCTGCTCCTCACCCTCCACTATAATCCTGTATCTGAAGCCTCCCGTCGCGGCTGCCGGAGTTCTCTGCTGCCCCCTGGCGTCATCATCGCGCTAGAAGCCTTGCGGCCGTTTTGCCTGAAAATATGCCACCACTGGGACAGGGGAGAGGAGGGCGGCCGGGGCTGGGTCTTGGGTGATGTTCTGGGCCCGGAAAGATAATGTACGTAAAATACTTGGCCCAGTGCCTGGCGCCTGGTAAATACCCAGCAGATGTTGCTACTGTTACTGAATTATTCTTTTCTGGGGAAACTAAGGCCCAAAGAAAGTACTGTATATGGATGTCTGTGCACTGAGGAATTGGGGTCCTGAACCGAAGTCAAAGAAGGTCAAAGGCTGCAGGGACTAGTGACCGGATATACTCGTTGCCTCTGATCCCCGTGCGGTGGAAAGGCGCAGGAGCGGGGCGCGGGGCGCGGCCGCGGCACACGGCTGGGGCGGTGACGTATCGAGAGGGGCGGGGCAGCCCCCAGGCTGCTTTTAAAAGCGGTGGCGGGGCGCGGAGAACCAGAGATAGCGAACATCTCAGAGCCTACACAGCTTTGCTTCCAGTCCTAGCCGGAGCCCGAGGTGTCAGCACGCCTCACGCCTTCCTGCCGCCTCCGGTTGCTCTCGCGCCTACTCTCGGCTCCGCCACCTCCGTGGCCCCGACACCAAATGAAACTGGCCGCGATGATTAAGAAGATGTGTCCTAGTGACTCGGAGCTGAGTATTCCGGCCAAGAACTGTTACCGCATGGTCATCCTCGGTTCGTCCAAGGTGGGCAAGACGGCCATCGTGTCGCGCTTCCTCACGGGCCGCTTCGAGGACACCTACACGCCCACCATCGAGGACTTCCACCGCAAGTTCTACTCCATCCGCGGTGAGGTCTACCAGCTGGACATCCTCGACACGTCTGGCAATCACCCATTCCCCGCTATGCGGCGCCTCTCCATCCTCACAGGTGAGCCGAAACCGGTCAAGGGGCGAGGGGAGGGAGCTGGCTATGGGAAGGGACGGGACCCCTGGAACTAGGGCGCAAGGAGGGCTCTGGTCAGAGGCGCATCCGTCCTACTCGCCAGCGTGCATAACTCGTCGCGTTGGCAGCCCACTCATCTTTTCCTCTCCCTCTGCGCCCCACAGGAGACGTTTTCATCCTAGTGTTCAGCCTAGACAACCGCGACTCCTTCGAGGAGGTACAGAGGCTCAAGCAGCAGATACTTGACACAAAGTCTTGCCTCAAAAACAAAACCAAGGAAAACGTAGACGTGCCCCTGGTCATCTGCGGTAATAAGGGTGACCGGGACTTCTACCGCGAAGTGGAGCAACGCGAGATCGAGCAGCTGGTGGGCAACGAACCCCAGCGCTGCGCCTACTTCGAGATCTCCGCTAAGAAGAATAGCTGCCTGGACCAGATGTTCCGGGCGCTCTTCTCCATGGCCAAGCTGCCAAGCGAGATGAGCCCAGACCTGCACCGTAAGGTGTCGGTTCAGTACTGCGACGTCTTGCACAAGAAGGCGCTGCGCAGCAAGAAGCTGCTGCGCGCTAGCGGCGGCAACGACCCCGGCGAGGCCTTTGGCATAGTGGCGCCCTTCGCGCGCAGGCCCAGCGTGCACAGCGACCTCATGTATATTCGTGAGAAGGCCAGCGGCTGTGGCCAAGCTAAGGACAAGGAGCGCTGCGTTATCAGCTAGGAGCCTCCTCCGCACCCGCCATGACACATAAGGAGAAACTTTTTAAAGTAAAATCCGCCGCTCTGGCCAGAAAGCATGCCCAAGGCCCTCAGAAAATGGCTTCGCGATTCGGGGAGCCACATCCGCACCGAGAAGACACGGTCATCTGCTCTGGGAGTTACGAGAACTGCCAGGACCACAGCTCTTCCAATCTCTGATTCGCCATTGGCACCACGCCACCCTCATGACTGGGGGGCATGGGCCCAGGGGAGGGTGCCCATACCTTGTTTCTCACTAAGACCTGAGAATGAGAGTGGGTGGGGAAGTAGTCTGGACATTCATCAGCCACCTGCCCGGCTCTAGGGCCAGGCCCAAAGGGGTGTGGTATTTTGTCTGTGATTCTGGGTTGTCATCACAGCTTGTGCCCTTCAGAAGCCAAGTGGTGGTGTGGGTCAACTCAAAACCAAGTGACTTGTTTACATGTGTGTGTGTTACACAGAAAAAAGGGAAAAAAACGCTTCATTTGCACTTTAATAGCAATTCTGGTATCATCTTAGACATGAACAAAATCTTACCCGGGTTTTTATATATGTGTGAGACAGTCTTTAAAGTTATTGTTTGTGTTTTTAATATAAAACAAAATAATTTAAAATGGACAATCTGGTTTTCTTTGCTTTTAGAAATAGCTGGAGGGAGGAAGAAAGGCATGCTAGTGCTCACTAATGTGGAATCAGAACACACTTTTTCCACAATGGAAAACGCCCTTGCTATTCTGGAAATAGCATCCGCAGTTACTTAAGAAACAGCTCCCCAAACTTCCAGATGCCTGGACCCCTCACTCTAGAGTGGCAAGCTGGCCAAGGTCCTTTTATTTGGGTAATGGTTCCCTGGGGGTGTGGCAGGCCCAGAAAGCCAGAACAAGACTTTCCTACAACTCAGTCTATTCCATTTATTTACCTGTACTTTATGGAGCTGTGGTTGCACAGTGGTTACGAATCAGGCTGTGAACCGCAGGGTCAGCCAGCTGTTCTGCGAGAGAAGGATGATGCTTTCTGCTCCGGTAAAGATTTACAGCCTCAGAAACCCTGTTCAGGGTTGCAATGGGTCAAAACCGACTCCAGGGCATTTACCTGCTTGGTGTTGCCTTAGGGTAAGCCACAAAGGCCCCATTTTCTGAGTCTATTGTCCTCTCTCACCGAAAGGTCAATCAAAGGCTGTTTGGTCTACTTTGCTCTGCAAGTGTGTCGAGTTGTCAGGACACCCCAGGGATAGCTACAACAAAGCTCCCCTCCCTGCAAGTCTAAGGAGGCACTGCTGCCCTGCATGGGGGCCGCCTTGCTTTTTCCCTCCCTGTGTGGCTAAGGGCACCTACTTAGAGGTCCATCCCGGCTTGCTTTGCCACTTACACCTCTGCAAACTGAGCAAATCACATCTGCCAAAATTCTTCAGATGCAGAATCAAGAATGCCATCTTCCTGGGACTGCTGTGATGTTGTAATTAGCGCTAGCAACTGCTCAGTAGCTTTAGCAAGTGCTTGGCCCTGTGAGGAGCTTCAGATGCCTCTCCTCTGTCCTGGAGGCCCTCACAGACCTGTACCTCCTCAAACCACCAAAGGGATACCAGGAGAGGAGCGGTTCTGTTTATACTGGTCTGGATGGTGGATTGCACTAGATGGGGTGGGGTTGGGGTGGTGGGGAGAGACAGTAAAAGTAGAGTTTTCACAAATTATACTGTGTACACTCTATACAAAACAAATATTTTCCTGTTAGCTATCTAAGAGAAACCCTGCTGTGGGCTCCTCAGTACACAAACCATGACACCCTGTGAGCAGAGTGTAAGAGAAGGCAGGAATGCATAAGTCATTTTAATTAATACACTTGAAAATGCCATGAGTCAAAACATCAAAGGCAGCCCAGTGCAGAAAAGGTTTTTTTTACCAATGTGGTGGGTGGGGGTGGGGGAGCCCCCTGTCTAACTCAACTTCACAGACAAATCCCAGTGGTTTTTTGTTTTCATGTGCTCCAGGTTTCACAGCATTTTGTCAAGGCCTTAAAACCGGCCCCCACACACTTAGAGACTGATAGAAAATAACTGATTCAGTTAATAGCCCCAAGGCAAAAATGGTCAAGGGACATTGCCCACCTATACTCAGAGCCTGCTCTTTGGTAACAGACTTCTGAAACCTGAGCCACTCAACACTGAGTTCCTACCAAGCCAGCCACCCAGCAGGTGCAAGGACACCTTCGAGTCCAGTGTTCCTGCCAACAAGGTCAGTTGGCAGAGATCTATTAAGCCCCTAGACAGATCAGCACAGGTGATATGTCCATTTCGATATCTAAACAAGATGCAGTTACTTCTCACCCTCAAGAGGCAAGGGAGAGACTGCTCTTGCCTCATTCTGACAGCCAGGTGAGGAACACATGAGACTGGAGTGGAGCTGGGGTAATGAGGGTTAGTTAGACTGGCCTGCAACTGTCAGAACATCGCTGAACGGATTCTCAGAGCAGGAAGCTCGCGCCAGCACCTTAGCGTACACAATGACTTACCATCTGCTGCTGACTCCAGTTGAGAAAGCCAGCCTGGGCTAACAATTCCCTAAACCAGGCACACAGGACATGAAAAGGACAAACTCTGCTCAACTGAAGCCAGTTTCAGCTTGGGTAGGAGTGGCGGCTTACAAGCTCCCTCTGCCGAGGGTTGCCTCTCTCTGGCATTCAGTGGCCAAGGACAGGAGCTAAAGGGAGATGAGTGGAGATCAAGGGAGTAAGAGCTGAAAGTACTGAGGACACTGGGGACATGAAGTTAGAGACAAGGGTTGCCTTCAAACTGTAGCTAACACCTGTGGCAGGGCTCTCATGAAAGGAGACAAGCTGTTTGGGGGGTGGGGGGAGGAGCCACCTTGTAGTCTTTCAAAACAATCTTCATTCTGGCACAGCTGCTGGTCTTTACTATCTCCATCGTAAAGCAGGCATAATTCACCCAGTGAAGTCTACACAAGGGTTTCATAAAACTGTTGTCCTGGAGTGTCTACTAAGTACCTGTCAAGCACGTATCACGTACCAGGGTGAGAGGAGAGGGAGGAAAGGAAGCAAAGGTACCACTGCTTCCTTCCCTCACTCCTCCTGTGCTCTTCAGAACTGCAGGCAGAGCCCAGATGGCCTTTCCCCACCAGCAAGCACAGACGAGATGGCTCCTGGTTCTGAACTGAGGTCTAAGGCAGGGGCAGTGAAAGGCTGGCCTGTCACTGGCTGCAGCTCCTTCACTCTACTCCTTGGGGATTTCAAACATGCAAAGGCTCTTGTACTTCTGCAGCAGGTCGTTCTTGGTCTGGACTTGCTCCCGGAGGCTGAGCAGTTGCTGCTGTTGCTGCTCAGGGCTCAGGTGGATGCCGGGCATGGTGCTGACAGCTTTCCGCACCTCCTGGAACTTGGTCTTTAGGGCGTTCAGGTCCTGGTGGACGTCAGGGCTGTCCTTGTCCATGCTGCAGAGGGCAGAGGCACCATCAGTACATGCACACCATGCTGCCCCTTTGCCCACACCCCCAGATCTTTAGTGTGTGCAACGTGCCCTGGGGCCAACACAGCTCAGTCACCCTTTCACAGGCACACAGCCTGCTTGCAACATGCTCCCCTTACAATCTACATTCAACTGGCTACCTGCGCTGGAAGGTGGTGGCATGCACGTATGCTGGGCTCACAGCAGGGAGGGGGCTGTGGGCACTCAAAAATCCGTTACTGAAACACCAAAAGCTTGGCACACAGACTGCTCATAATATTTGCTAAATAACTGAACAAAGCATTACCAAAATCTGGTGACAAATGCCAGATACAATTTGAGGCTATATCACATGTCTTCAATTTAATCAACTTTCAGGCCAATCAGATTTTACCAGCTAGCAAGAGCTACTTTCAGCTGAGGTTTTGATACTTGAATCAGTTAACATACAGATGAATTTCCACAAGAATCATCATAAATTTTAGTTACAAGCCATTGGAAATGTTCAGAGGTAAAGGCCATGGCAATTCCTCACTTCCCGGCCTGGCTTACCTCTTCACTCACAACTACTATGAGCTGTCCTGACAGCATCAAACCAAACCACCAAGAAACCAACCCCCTTCACCTAAGATCAAAGACACAGCCTGCCAGGTCTTCCTATACATTTTTAAAAAGTGAATGTTGTTGTTATGTGTCATTGCGTCAGTTCCTACTCATAGCGACCCTGGATAAGAGTTTCTGAGAAGCAGCCTTGTGGTTCTAACTGACCTGAGGCCCAGTGCTTATCTGACAGCATCACAAGACCCCAAATCAATTCAGCAAGCTGTTTCAAAAGTGTACTTTGTTGTTGTTAAGTGCCTCTGAGTTGGTTCGGACTCCTAGCAACCCTGTATACGGTTTCCAAGGAGTGACTGGTGAATCTGAACTGCACCTTGTGGTCCAGTGCCTTATCCTACAGTGCCACACTAGGACTCCAAACTGAGGCACAAAAGGGGTGAACTGTCAATGAATAGTTAGTTTTTCACTAAATGTTATCCCTGGCGAGGCATTTCAAACCAGATGGTGTGAATTTACGTTTATTATTTATCATTTCTCTGTTTGCGCAGACAGAATACCCTCCTCCCTGAACTGCCACTGCTGCTCACTGTTTATCAGCAGCACAAAACTCACACAGCAGGGCCCAGAGAACCCATACTTAAAGGAGTGGACGGCCAGCCACCACTTATATCGGCTGTATTCTGATGCCCTCAGCTGAGATTCAATGAATGGCATGACTGAAACCAGCGGCCACTGAGTTGACACTCACAGAGACTCCGTATGTGTGACAGCTGAACTGTACTCTGTAGGGTTTTCATGGCTGATTTTTCAGGAGATTGCTAGACCTTTCTCCCAAAGCCTCTGGATGGACTGGAATTGCCAATCTTTCAGTTAGCAATCGAGCACAATGACCATCTGCAGTTCCCAGGACTAAGTGGTATGCCTTACCCCAATTTCTAGGGAGGACAATTGTATTACTGAGACCTGTAAGTCATCTGAAAGCAACTTTTATTTTAATTATTTTCAGTCTCAGCTTGGATCCATGCTCTGGATAGAAACTATATGGAGTCTGCAAATCACTGTACTTGGCTGGTATATGTGTTAACACACTGGTTATGGGTTAAGTCCAAAGGGTATTTTAAAATTAAAATAAAGTCTCAAGAAAAATAATTCACATCAGATGACAGGACGCAGTAAAGTAAAACTTTGGGAGTTAAGCTAATCAGGTTCTTGAAGCAAGCATAACCTGGTCACAAAGAACATTTACATCTGAAAGTAAAAAATGGGCCATGTTTAAGGTGCTCATTCCTGAAAACCCCCAAATCTCAAGGGTCGCCCATTCTTTGCCTGGTGAGTTTCCCATAAGGAGACAGTCTGAAATCTGTCAATCATGGCTTTGGAGAAGTGGCCTGGAGCAGAGCTGAGCAGAAAGGAGGCCATTCAGCCCCAGGGAAGCCCTGGCTGCAAGATTCTCAACCTGCCCCAATTGGTGGATGGAGGTAAATAGCACTGAACTCCTGGGGTGAGGAAAACACTTTATTCAGGAACTGGTTCAAACAAAGTGGGATCTGGCTAAGCCAGGATGATTGTGAAAGAAAGTAAAAGAAAAGGGTCAGACCCAGATAGCAAGTGAATAAAGGCAGACAGTGCTGAGTGGGCCTGCCTTTATGTGGGTGTTAGTCATCACCCAACTTTAGAAGAGAAATCCAAGGAGACAAGGCCAGGTCAAGAGTGTGGACAGCAAGACATTGGCCCCGCCATGCTGTGAAGAGTGCACCAGCATCCGACGGTGAGACTCCTTGATGACCTGATGCTGTGTGAACATCCTGGGCTAATGCTCTATGTCTAGAGAATGCCCATGGCACTTTCAATATTCTCCTCCAACACCCTAACTCAAAAGCATGAATTCTTCTATGGTCTTCGTTATTCACTGTCCAGCTTTCACATGCATATGTTGTTGCTGTTATGTGCCGTGGAGTCGGTTCCGACTCATAGTGACCCTGTACAGGGTTTCCGAGGCTGTAAATCTTTATAGGAGCAGAAAGTCTCATCTTTCTCCCACAGAACAGCTGGTAGTTTCGAACTGCTGACCCTGAGGTTCACAGCCCTATTTGTAACCACTATGCTACCAGAGCTCCTTTCGCATGCATATGAGGTGATTGAAAATACCATGGCTTGGGTCAGGCACACCTTAGTCCTCAAGCTGACATCTTTGCTCTTCAACACTTTAAAAAGGTCTTGTGCAGCACATTTGCCTAATGCAACACGTCGTCTGATTGCTTGACTGCTGCCTTGATGACTGTTGATAGTTGATCCAAAAAGAATGAAGTCCTTGGCAACTTCAATCTTCTCTGTTGATAAGAATGTTGTGGAAGACCCCCAGGCAGACAGACTGGCAAAGCGGCAGCATCGATGGGCTCAAGCGTGGCAACAATAGTGAGGTTGGCCCAGGATCAGGCAGGGCAGTGTTTTGTTATATGGGTCGGTACCGACTCAACAGCACCTAACAACAACAACAACAGCAAATGGTCACTTAGTAGAAAGAGCTCACTGAACCTGTTGTCGTGGGGCTCCAGTCTCCTCACTCTAACCAGGAGTTAGTTACTACAGCTGCTTTCTCTGTTCCCCAAACCTGAGTACCACTGTGTTTGAGTTCTCTGTGGCATCTGACTCGCTGTCCATTTCTGAATTCCTGCTTTGTCCCACCGGACATGCTCAGCTAGTCCTTCTCAGCCCTTCCCTGTAACAGCTCCTGCAGCTTCACAATCGGCTCCAAGTTTCTCTGGTGAGTGTGTAAGTGTCAGTGCTTTCTCTCTCTCAAAAACAGTTTGTCCTAAATGACTGGCAGCAATAATGCTTGAAGGGAGGGAAAAAAGGCAAAAGGGCAGATACCCAAGACTTAGAACAGCAAAGTCCCTTTAATCCCAGAGATATTTTACCAGCAATGTGCCATGGTATATACATGGTTTTATCTGTTGCTTTGTTCACTTGACAACTACTCTGGCAGATCTTTCCAACGTTGGTACTTTTTTATAAGATAATTTCTTAAAAGTACATTTCTATGTCAATGGTTATGTAAAAAAAATTTTGACCACAAATTTTATTGCCGAATTGTCCGCTAAAGGTGGTGAACTGACATGCACTCCAGTGACAGGGGACATCACTAACTTTATGTACTGGTCATCTGTATCTCTCTCCTCCAGTCCTGAGCTCACAACTGCGCTTCTATCTGCTTACAGGATGACATGTGAAAAACATTCCCCCACAAACAAACAAGAAAAGATCCTGCTGCTAAAAGAAATTTGGAAAAAAGCCCTGCTCTACAAAATATAAGGAGCTCTGGTAGTGTAGGGTTACGAATTGGGCTGCGAACCACAAGGTCAGCAGTTCACAACCACCAGCTGTTCCACGGGAGAAAGATGAGGCTTTCTGTTCCCGTAAAGATTTCCAGCCTCAGAACCCTGTGCAGGGTCGCTACGGGTCGGAACCGCCTCCACGGCACAGAGCTTCCTCTTCTACAAATATACCAGCACCGGCCCATTTGCTGCTACCTTCTTACATTCTGCGAGCTCCTTCCCAGCCTGGCCTTCTTTCCTTTACTTCAGTTCCCCAGTTCCAACAGTTACCAGTGGAGTCTGGAGTGACTGGGGAGGCTACGTCACCAGCCTCCTACCACCCCACTTACCCAGCTGTGGTGTGCCAGACAATGGTCATCCAATAACCAAGTCCACCTCTATTCCCCACTAACGACTGCTGCTCATTTCCAGGTGGACCCAGGTTCCCTCCTCCTAAAACCACAGATGCTTTCCCAGGTCAGCTCCCAGACAACATCTATCAGGTGAGCTGAGACTCTTCTGAAGGTCTGGTGAATGTACAACTACAGCACACAGTACACTGTACTATGAAGTGGTTGTGGCTACTGGAGAAGCACTGGATGGCTAACCTCAAGATCAGCAGTTCAAACCCACCAGCAGCTCCTCAGAAACCACATACAGGGTTACGATGAGTCGAAACTGACTCGACAGCACTTTAACAACATGAAGTTGTTGGCCTTGCATACCTGCAGGAGAATGAAAAGATATTTAAGCAGACACAGAAATAACCGCAAATAATCTGCACATATTCTCCACCGGGACCTCATTCTCTTTACTGGGATATAGGTGAAGCAGCAGTTAAAGGCTTCAGTAAACCTAAGGGGGATAATTGTGGTCACTCGTGGACCTTCTGCTGCTTCCTGCAGCATGTGAGGTGGCCTCAGCTGGCATAGAGGGCCAGTCAGACTAAAATAGACACTGTGTGGGAAGAAGCAGGCGGAGAAGACCCTGTTCCCAGGACAGAAGTCTTAACTTAAGCTCTAAGGTCTTGCTGACCTGCATCAACAACACGTGGACTGACTTGCTGCTAACAAGCTGACCCAAGCTTGAAGGTAGAGGACAATTTAGTGTGCTT